TGTAATTTGTGTACACACGAGCTCGCTTGAAACGTGCCGTTACTAATACCTAAACTACTGATAGTGTCCAGAAAATGGAATATATGAAAGCACACGCTGCACGAATATTGTGGACAATGCCCGAAAGGGCAGGGTATTATGGTGTGGAATTGCTAAAATTTGCCGAAAAACGCAAAACAGCGGTCGATGGTGAAGCATTATTAGAATTTGCAGTTTATAGTGCTATTGCTTTGCATACTATTTATATATGTGTGTTGGTTGTCGTATGTGAAAAGGTGTGTTTCAATTATCTGCGAGCTGCCAGCAGAGCAAACGGCAGATGTGTATTCGTATGTGCCAAAGACAGGAATACAAATGCAAATACTGTTGGGAATAATATTTCCATCCGACGGAAATTCCAACGAGTTGCATATATTTACATGAAATAGCGATAAAATGTCTTGCTGGGAAAATATAAGAAGCCTGTGCTGTTTGGAAAAGTGTTTGGTGCAACGCACACATATTTTTTTTTTATTTCGAAGTACAATGAGATTTATATTAAAAAAAAAAAATTGTTTTTATGTATCTTTAAACGATTTCTATTATATACAATAGCACTCGTGCAGATCTTAGAATTACTATTTTTGTACAGGCAAAAAGGCAGAAAATAATAAACATTTGGCAAATTTAAAATCATTTAATTTTCGCGCTATGTTTTGCGTTGCCACACAATGACTACCATTAGCATCAACATTTTTATACTAATACACCAATTTCATATCTATAATTAAATCTTTAGACCACAACGGCGCTTCACAAAAAGAAAAACAAAGTGTTTAACAAAAAAGAAAACAAGATAGTAAACGGAACTTTGTTGTACTTCCAACTCGCTAAGCATAAACCGAGTGAAAAAAAAAAAAAAATTTTGCACCTAGTATGCAAGAATACATATACATATTAGGTCAGGTAAGAAGTTCGTTAGGTTTTTTATTGATTTTTCAAAAGATAATAACTTTGTGTACATTCGTCCGATTTAAGTCAAGTATGCGCCGTTTTGTTCGTAAACTTGTTGCCAACGCGATGTCAACCTCACTATACCCCTCTCGTAGAAGACTGCGTCCCTATTGGCAAAAAACTCGGAGAACCAATTTTCACAGGCCTCTCTTGAGGCCAACTTCTCACCATTAAGCGCGTTCGCCATGGACAGGAAAAGATGGTAATCACTTGGTGCCAGGTCCGGCCTATAAGGTGGGTGCAATAAGACCTCCCGTCCGAGCTAGCGGAGCTTCTGGCGCGTCACCAAAGATGTGTGTGGCCTGGCGTTGTCTTGATGGAACACAATTCGGCCTCTATTGATCAAAGATGGCCTCTTCTGGATGAGTGCTGCCTTCATATTTATATGTATATAGGTAATATCAGACGCAGTCAGAAATTATAAAAGTATTTCTTTTAAGAACCGCTGCAAGAGGATGCTGTGGAGTCAATACATCATCCTTTTGTTGAACAACAATAATTGCGAATTTCATGTTTAATTATTTGGTAGCACTTTCGTGATTAAATAAATTAACACTGAGATATCCATTGATTTGAATTGTATACGGATATGGGCGTAGTACTAAAACCCTTTAATTTTCACAAATAATAACTATTTGTGTAGGCCTTCTAACTCTATCATTAAATTATCTATTACCAATATCTAATGAATCAGATCTCAATGCCCTTAACATCTACTTTAATCCCATCAGATTTTTTTAGCTAAAATAACTAACTGAACCTTAATTTTTAATATCAATATCAAACTGAAACAAAACCAAGAAAAAACGTTAACTTCGGTTCTATTAAGGTTTAATACCATTTACATATACAAACGATTCCTTACAAGCACTTGATTTTGATCCTACAGCAGGTATGACAGCTATATGCTATAGTGAACCAATTCAAACAATTTCTTCGGATATTACGCCATGGTCTTAGACAATGATTCATGTCAAATTTCGTGAAGATATCTCGTAAAATGATAAAGTGTGCCATACAAGCACTAGATACCGATAGTTTTGTTAGTATGGCAGCTATGTGCTATAGTAATCCGATATCGGCGATTCTCACAAGTGAGTAACTCTTTAGGGAGCCAAGGAAGTGTGCAAAATTCCAGGTCCATATTTCAAAAACTGAAGGACTAGTTTGCGTATACAGAAGCAGACGTACGCACGGATGGACATGACCTAAGCGACTCAGCTCGTCTTGCTAATCATTTAAAAATGTATTATAGAGGGTTTCAGGCGTTTCCTATTCGGTGTTACCCTTTTCAGGGTATAAAAATTACCAAGAAAGTAAAGAAAGTAGTAGAAATAATTTCAAATGGTGTAAAAAATAATGTAAATGTAAATAAAGTTTATTTTACGACGAAACCGTAAATGGTTTTAATTTTGGCAACATACAACCTTTGGTATTGATTGAACATAGACTCATTTCAACTCATTACTATATTTTGTTGTGTGTTTGCAATATTTATATTAAAATCAACATAATTAACTCAAATTAGATATAGACTCAACCAACTTAAATTCCATAAAATATTTTATATACATACATAAATATATGGACCAACAAAAACAGTCAATAAAGTGGGGTAGTAGAAGGTCTTTATTGATTGAATTCATATTCATTCATTGAGGATAACTCACACATTGGCCGATATAGATCGGTAGTATAATAATCCAAATCGGTCCAAATTTTTCTCTAGCACGATTGTATAAGCAGAATATGTAATCCGCCATTTTTCTTTTAATTTTATATTGTATTTTTATACCCTGAACAGGCCACGAAATTCGTCACACCAAGAAGGAAACGTTGGAGACCCTACAAAATGTATTTACCAATTATATAAATGATTAGCATGACGAGCTGAGTCCGGTTTAGCCTCATCCGTTTGTCTGTCCATCCGTATGTATGTATATACGAAAACTAGTCCTTCACTAATATAGCACATAACTGTCATTCAAACTAAACAATGAAATTCATGTCCTTGTACTTGTATGGAAAACACTTCTTTATTTTACGAGTTATTTCCATGAAATTTCTTATGGATCATTAATTTGCTTTCTTAACTATAATGTGGCTTAGTTCAAGAAAGAATGAAAATAACTTACATCTACCTCTAGCCCTTATACCGAATATGAATCTTTGTAAATGCTTTTTAATTATATAAAGTTGCTCTGTCTATTTTGAATACCAAAGAATACACATTTGCTACCATTTTAATGCCGGCCAGTTCAAATTACTCTCAACGATTATATCGTCTTAAACTGCTGTAGAAATTAATTACAGAGTTATCATTAAGAAGCATACGTACATGGCTCCAAATTGTTTCTGCCTACTAGTTTTACATCTGTCATCTATGTAAATGAGTTAGTCTGACATATGTGCGTACCGACAAACATTTCCTATTATTGTTACCTGCAAACAGCATATGCTGTAAGTCACATCAAAACCGAAACTGGTGTGTGTACTGGAAATTACGTGAAAGTGTCAGACAGATGTGTGTCTATCTAACTGCGAGGCAAAAACGTTATTGTTTCTTAATTACTGCAAAAATGATGTACGTTAGATTCAGACTGTCAAGTGCCCTAGGAAGCATTCTGTGTCATTAGAAAGATATTTGAGTATATTTTTGGGTTAAAAAGTTCAAGTGAGATATCAAAGGGTTAACTGGCGGTAGTTAAAGAAATTACAAATGTGTTAGAAGGTATCGAAAAGAGTTTTCATGGGTTGGTGTGATTGTGGCTGTAGACGTCGGAAATCAATATAGTTTAATGACTATCTGCAAGCGCAGCTCTGCATGACCATATCTTATCACCATCACCTATGGGTGGGTAAACATACTCGTATACATAGGTTCCAAGACCAAAGAAGCGAAGAAACCCACTTAAAAAAGTTCTGAGATCATGGAAATGCGCTGTACAAAAAGAATATGCTATTGTCTGATATATACTATAAATACATGTATACTGAAGAACAAGCTTAACGTTTAGTCATGTTAGACGAATCAATATAAGAAGTTCGGCTAAACTAACAAAATCAATCAGCAGCAAGCAAATAAACTGCATGAATCAGCAGAATAAAAGCGGCTGGAAGTATTTTTATGTGTTGTCATTGGATTGGATATGGATTGATAGAGTAAACCGTAGAGAGGATTATGGTTCCACAGTTTTAGAAAATCTTAACTTTCTGACTGGCGTGAACACTAACTGCTAAACGTTACTTCCTACTTAATTTTATTAAAGTCTTTTGAAAATAAAAACTAATAAATCAATAAACTACTTTTCATAATAAATAACTATAATAATAGATTTTTGTGTATTCGAATTTAGGTTTCTTCTTGGAATATATAGAGTTTTGAGTGGTTATGATGATAAATGTATATAACAGAGTGATAGCATTTTCGAAGTTGGTCGATGTGTTACCGTAATGGCTTTTACAGCACCTTTTGAAAAGTTGTTAGGAATATGAAATATATTCTTCCTTCAATACTGATATTTATTGAAACGTTTGTTTTATTTTTAGCCAAATAATAAACTCAAATGTAAAATGTTGCTTCGACTAAATGTTCTAATCATTTGAAAATGTCTTCCCACACCCGAAGAACTGAGCATACTATGCTAAAAGTTTTAAAAAAAATATATATAAATATATTACTTATTTTTAGGGTTAATTTAGGCGCTCCAAGGCAGTATTTCGTAACTATTTAGAGGTGTTATAAATAGACAAAGCGCAGAAGTGGATAAAAGTAAATCCTTTCTTCATTTCCATTTACAATTCCTCTAGCTAAGAGTAAAGGTTATCTATTGTAAACTCGCTTATAATAAACTAAGTTGGTTTTGAATAGCACTCAGATTATATTCTGGATGTAAAACCTTACTGGTTAAAAGTCATGTTGCTACTTTAAAATACAATCTACATAATATATATGATTATTTCATCATATCTACTAATTTTGCGAAATGTAAAATATGTTGACTCACCTGGTGGCATGAAACGGCGACTGCCTACGGGTGCCTCTGCATATGGCAAGCCCAGATATTCATCGACATCACGTAAACCGGTCGACGGATGAAAATGTCGCGTGATGCCCATTAGACGACCCTGCTTCATCCGTATCTCCTTGGTGTATTGCAATTTTTCCGGCACGATGTGACGACGTTCATTGCTGTGCGGTGCTTTATTTTGCTTGTTATGTATATCATTTTTGCCACGGTTATTATTATTGTTATTGCCGCTGTCAATGCTACTCGCATTAGTTGCTGGTTCAACCAATAGGTCATCAGATAAATTGGAACTTAAGGCGATAGCAGCAGAATTAGCATTCAGCTCAGCACTCGTGTGCAACCTCTGCTCGACGGTATGGAGATTGTTGACACTGTTATTATGTTCGTTGTTTTCGTTGTTGGCATTGTTTTTACTTTTTTTATTTCTGCTGTTCGAAATTGGCTTGTTGCTTACAATGGGCGCATAGTTGTCGTTGTTGTTGTCGCTGTTTTCATGCACATTTTTAGTAGGCACTTCATTATTGCGTTTGCTATTTTTAAATTCTTCGACAGTGCGCGCATTTCCAGTTCGAATAGCTGCGCTGTCGTTTGCAAACAAATTTGCCACATTCGTTCTAAAATCGTACACCAAATGATCAGCGTTAATGGCATACTTGGAGTGTTTTAAATTCTTCGCAATGAGTTGTTTGGCTGCTGCACTTGCTGTGGTGTGGCTGCTGTCGGCAAACGGAAGCAGTGTTAACGGTGAAGCTCTTGTTGTTGTTATTGCCTGTTTTGACGTTGCAAAGGATATTTGGAATTTTGGCATTGCGGTCACTTCCCGTTTTATTGCCTCCATTTTTGGCAGTACGCTTATTTTCGTTGTTGCTGTTGTTGTTATTGTTGTTTGGTTGTTGAAGCTTTTAGTGGTATTATCATTGTGGATGCTATTACCGCTCCCAGCGCTTATCGCCAACGAATTGGTGAACTTCAGCTGTGACCCATTGGTATTCGCTTTTGCTTTTGTTATTGCCACTTCATTGTCATCCGCTATCGCTAGGCGCTCATCACTTTCGCTGTCAAGTTCCGGCAGCATGGCGTATGGCATTTCCGCCGTCTTGCCGCGCAACATCGATGCAAGCATTGGAATTGCTTCTGTCACTACATCGCCTACAACTTGCCGCGGGGTAATCATTACTGTTGCACTACGTCTTGTTAGTTTTGTTGTTTTTTGTAGAGGTGGCAATATTGTTGCGCTGATTTGCACCATCTGTTCGCTACAATCGCTGCTAGTTTGCAGCTGTTGTGGTGACGAATGTTTTTGGAATATTTGAGTGTTTTGTTGCTGTTTGGCGTATAGCGTTGCCGCCGAGCAGCCATCACCATAAAATCGTTGCTGCTGCGCACTTATAAACGTCAGCCAAAATAGCCAAACGGCCGCGTAGCTAGCATAGCTTTGCCAATGCCAATAGCGTCGGAAATACATTTTGTGGCATGCGGTGTGGCACAGTTTCGTTGTTCTCATAGAGAATTGTTGTTGCTGGTGTTGAAGCCTTTAGCCAATTTCTAGCGCACTGTCGGTTTTCTCGCATCAATGCCAGTTTTCTTGCCTAGTTTGCTTTGTGTGCCTCTGTGTGTGTTTGTGTGTATCGTGGCGTTTGCTCATTCTTCTTTCTTTGCTTTGTGTAGCCTTTGCTTCATTGCTCTTTTGTGCTTGCGTTGCTTTGATGTTATCCCTGCTGATTTTATTTTATATAAACACTTACTTTATTATATTTATTTTTATTGTAACTTGTTTTTGTTTGCATTGATTTTGCTTTGCTGCTTTGTTTACTTATTTTGCGCTGTTTTCTATTTTCGTCAGCAAAATCTTTGACTTCCTTTTGTTGTATAGACACATCACTGTCACAATCGAATGTGGCGAAGAATCTGTTTCTTGTCTCTTTATTTTTGCTATTTTTTAGTCATTTCGGTTTTGGCTTTCAAATTTGTTGAAACTTCTGCAAAATATCATTGATTTTGCTATGAAAGGAAATCATTTTCGGATGTATTTAACTTTTAATAGCGCTCACAGGTTTTTTTTTAGACGCGAAAATGCGAAAATATTACAAAAATGCTTATTTTGTTTTGATATTTTAATTTATACATATAGCGTTTTTTCCTACTTACTTGTATATATTAGTCTAGGCTTTATTGATAGTCATATTTACAATTGTGTGTGAGTTACTAGAGAATATACATATACTATAAAATCGAATGCATAAAGACATTGGTGGCGAATTATTTTATTAAAAAATGTTGGATTTAAAAACTAAAGATTTAATTTTTGGTTAAAAATTGTTTGAATGTCTAAGTTTGCCGATTACTGCTCTAGAACGTTGGAAATGATGGCTTTGTATGAGCTCTAGTAAAAAATGGTAGAAGACGAAGCACGTAAGTGAAAATGTGTAAACTCAAAATCAATTAAAAATTTTTATCATAATTTAATCATAAATATGGGATTAATTTGTATACCCTGAACAGAGTATATTAAGTTTGCCACGAAGTTTGTAGCATCCAGAAGAAAACGTCGGGCACCTTATTAAATATATAAATTATTGATCAGCGGGACGAGCTGAGTCGATTTAGACCTCTTAACTTATCTGCCCGTCTTAATCTATATACGCGCACTAGCCCCTCAATTTTTAGGATATTGATCAAAAATATTTCACACGTCCTTTTCTCAGCAAGAAGCTGCTCATTTGTCGGAACAGCCGATATCGAACCACTATAGCATATAGTTGCCATACAAACCGACCGATCAGAATCAAGTGCTTGTATGGAAAACTATTTCATTTCACCGATCAAAAATCTTGTATGGATTTTTTGTATGTTATGTGAAGGATATTTTTGCTTCAGTGCAGACGAAGTTATCGTTTTTTTCTATTTTTTATTTTTAATTAGGTATTTGCGATAAATTGTTTTTTAAAGCATATTTATTTTAGAATAATAAGAATAAAAAAAAAAATGTTATTTGATTTTTTTTTTAAGCATTATTTGCAACCTTGAAAATGACAGGCGTTTTCGGTTGACATATGTATGTTATAGACTACACATCTAACCGATCACGTTTATTAGGCCACATAACTATGCTGCAGTCGCTCTTTATACATATAATATATTATAAATGTGTTTGCGTGGAAATAGTTATCGACGAAAAATTTATGATTTAAGCAGTTTCTGCAGTATGCACATTCAAATTTTACGATCGTAAACAACATGCCGGTAATTTATTTGCTTTTTGTATGTTTACATTTTTATTTGTTGCATGTAAATTCGATGTATTGTATGTGCACAATCCAATGCATTGTGTTATAATTATTTTGCGTGAAATATTTATTGCCTTGAAGCCAATTCAACGAAGAGTTTTGTTTATTGTTAATTTTCACTGGCGCACACTTTTAGTTGCAAGCAACCTTGTGTATGAATTTGGACGTTTTATGTTAGGATGTGGCAGAATTACGAGTACATGTGTGAGCGGACAACCAAATGCATAACTTGTTATTCTGTTTCATGTGATTTTAAATTTTGACATTTAATTATTAATTTATTATATAATTATTACTATTAATAAATGTATTTTATTTTTTTTTAGATGTTTATAAATTTAGATGTTTAGATCAAACTTCAATCTACCCAGTCAACGTAGGTTTTCAAAGCAATAGCTTTTAATCAACCTCCAATAGCTAGTGCGTGTTATTCTCTTGAATAAACGGTAGCATCCATTAATCAATTTTATAAATATTTCAACATTAAAAAAAGTTTACATTCATTTCAATTCAGTATCTTAACAACTCTATCTCTTTTAATCAAATTATCCCATTCTTATTTCCGACATTAAACATTGTAAACAAAATCGTGACAAGTAATGAAAGTCCAAATGTACACGAAAATAATATATAGTAGAACATAAAACTACTCAGAAACCCACGCACACACAACTCCAATTTCAGCGCTGAATTCGAACTAGCTGAAAAAGTCAAATACAGTACCAGTTATTTTATGTTACCACTAAGTTGGTTGAAATTTAAATATTTAAAAATATTTGAGAAAACAAAATCAAATTATTAAACCAAAAATCGTCTTTTTTAATACTATATTTATATATTATATATATAAACTATATTTAAAAAGTTTTTTTTTTGACATAAATTAAATTCCTCATTAGGGAAAATTTTTTTGTTGATGGGATATCTTCCCGTAATTTTACATGAATAAACTGAACGTTTAAACCAAGTTCTTGTATAGAAATAATATAATAACGGTATACTGACTAATATGCTTTGTACTTCAAACTAGTTTCTAAGTAATTTATACTTATTCATTTCACTGTAGGTTAGTTGAGCACATAAATTGGTAACACCGACGCTGTGACAATAAACAAATTATAATGAGTTGCTGGTTCAATATAACATTTTAAATATTATGTTGCAAAATTTCTGATTGCTTTTGTAAACATGTGTAAGTATTAATATAAATGAACTTAAATCAAACTTTTGGAAAATGTTAATTGGTTGGGAAAAATCTTTGTTGTGATTTAGTATTTATTTTATATTATTTATTGGAATTTATTAAATTTTCAACTTAAAATATTTTTAAGATTTTTATTTACAAGTATGTACGCAACTAAGTACATGTTATACTTGTATGCACATATAAAAATAAGTGTTAAAACGTTTTTTATGTATATAAATAAATGCCAACTGAAATCATCAGTTAAAAATAAAAGAGTATATTTAGAAAATATGCATATATACAGTTCCATTGATGCTCGAATACTTTGAATATGAAGGACAAAAAGTGAGTTATTAGCTGTCTTCGATTCGACAAGCACTGGAGAGTAGTGAATCGAAAAACTATACCAGTTTTTGAAACAAACTAGTAGCACTTGTGCTAAAACCCATAATCTCTGACGCATGCACATTTGTGTTGCGCTTCTTTTTGTGAATGAGAAATTCTGCTTTCTGTGGCAAAAAATATTTTGAAACCACTTATTTCAGGACTTATTTAGTATTTTATTAAGTCATATTATAGGTCATAGACTAACATAATTTTATAACTATATTTTACTTCCCGTCAGCGAAAATTATATTAAAATCATTCTCAAATAAGATATATATGAAATAAACATAACCAAAGAGGCTAAATTTAATATATTGAGTTGATATGCAAAACATCAACCAGAAGATCGCAAATGATGATATTACTGTAATGACATTAAGACCAAGGTCTAGACCAATTCCAATAATATTCAGCGCTAAACTATTATTATAAAAAGGTTTGTTAAAATAACGGAAATTATTATATATAGTACAATATAGTTTTACATTCTTTTCGGATGTCTTTCATATTCACTGATATATACGGTATAAGGCCAACCGGAAGCTTGAAATCTTTGATAATTTATATGGAAGATAGGCGTAGCATTGACTCGATTTTCTCTATTTTTGGCATTATTATGTCATACTACTTGTATTAACAGAAATATTTTCTCTCTGGCTTTCATTAAGGTACCTTACATACCATCAACAATGTACATGTACTCGTATGAAGTAAAGTCAACCGGATGTTTGAAAACCGTGATATTAGTTATATGGGGGCTAGAACAACTTTTATTTTACCGATTTTATCCATTTTAGGCACATACATATATGCATATTGGCTGATATACGGTGTATAAAGTCAGCCGGAAGTTTGAAAATATTTCTATTAGGTGTTTGGAGCTAAGAGAAATATTGACTCGATTCAAAAAATTTTCAACATACGGACATACTGTTATCAGCAAAGGATTTTCACCTGATTTCTATTATACCTATATCTCAGCCACTGAGCGATATTTTGGGAAAAAAATCAGCCATATTCTCTGGGGTACATATTTCCGATATTTGGAGGTTTGAATAACTTTCGTTTGATTTAAGCAATTTTTCATCACAAGGTGGCCCAACTCAAAGGCACTATTCGTGCAAAGTTTTATCTGGATATATTGATTGATTCGTGACTTGTATAGTGAAAAGTAAAAGAACCAGATGGAGTTAAAAATTGTGTTATATGCGAGAGACAGACATGCGGATTTCAACTCCTTTCGTCATCGTGATCATTTATATATACATAACTACAAGTATATATCTAGATAAGTTTTAGGCGTTACAAACAAGCATTGGCTGCACAAAAGGAATATACTCTGCAGCAACATGTTGCACGAGTATTATTCTTTGTTTCTTTTTCATTTTTGATAGTAACTTTATCAGGCATTCACAGCAGTAAAATTGGTCTATTAAATGCATTTTTTGTATTAAATCAACTGGATAGTTCAGTGTTGTTTTTACATGTACATTTTTTAACTAGAGAGCAGCGAATATATTACGAATATATTATTATAAATAACGCATAAAAGTATGTACTCTGAGTAAAGTCACACAAATCTACGCGAGTTCACATATGGCCACTCGAAAATACTTCAAAAATGTATATTGATGTTATAGTTATTACTCATGCTTGCATAAGACGGCTTAAAAACACTAGTACAAGTACTGGTAGTACATAATTATATGTATAAAGAAATGGCATATAACTACATATAAAAGGTGATTTTTAAGAGGATTAAATATTTTTAAAAATAATAATAACAACAGAAAAGACAACATTTTCGCTTTATTCATATTTATATTCTTTATGAAATTTCGCATTTGAGCAGAACTTCACCATATAGTCTTTATATAGCGAATAAGAGTATGTAACTGTCACTAATAGTCGATTTTTCAGCGTATAACACAGCTTTGAAATAATTTTCGTGAATTTTTAAAGTTTTTCAATTGTAGAACTGTGTCAAATATACCGAATATAGCTATCGAACTAAAGTATATACTTTGACGACTAGTCTGTTAACTACCCGTCTAGAAGAGCTTACACTACTCAAAGATGTGTATATATATATTAATAACAGTTTACTGCGAACAGCATT